TAATTAATAATAAAACAATGGTTTATTACTCTTGACCAATAGGTGTATTAGTATTATTGTTATGTGCCTTTGCCATTTTTTTATTTTATTTTAATATTTCTACTTCTGTTTCTAAAAAGGTTTTTGTCATTTTAATACTGCCACTTAAACTTTATTTTTTTTTTTAAATTGAAGTATTTAGTATTTCATCTCATCTTTATATATTATTTTATTTAAACCTTATTTCAATGAGTTGTATTTAACAATAATAACACTGTTACACACACACACACACACACACACACATACACAAACACACATACACATGAACAAACAAAAACAAAACTAACATTTGATCTTTTTATTCTTCCAGTTGGCATTCGAGACGATGAGCATTATCGCAGTGGTGACCAACTGTGCCTTGATTGGTTTGTCCTCACAAGTGAAAGCGTACTTCCCTGAATCAGAGACTGAGATGATCCTCATTGTGGTGGCAATAGAGGTAAGTAACACATTCTCCTGTCCTTACACCATGATAACCTATAACCCCCTTTTGCAATGGCCCAAATGGTCCATAAGGTGGCATCAGTGAGTTGTTTTCCTTCTGCATGTGAGTGTATGAGTGTCAAAGGGTGCTAAACTTGGCCTTTTTTCCTTAATCACCATCCTGGTGGTTTGGATAATGCAGAAAACATAGTGTATTAGACTTCGTCAGTTTGTGTAACAAGAATCCAGATCCCCACTACTGAGGAGCTCCAGTCCATATGGGTTAATGTCAGAATTAAACAGGAGGTTCAGTAAAGGATAAGCTTTGCTTCTAGCCTCAGGAGACCTACTCAAAATAACTGACCCAAAGCATAGAGAGAAACACGCACAAACACACTAGAGACTTGTGTTTTTTGGGGGAAGAGAAAATAGAACTCTTGAAATTCTGTGGGGATCTGGGGAGGAATTCATTGTGCCATGTCTTGTTTTCCGCTAATTAAAATTTGCAGTAATCACTGAAGTTGTAATTAGGCCATACTGATTCGCGCACAGCATCAGCGTACCATGACATGAATTTTAAATAAAACCCAAAACCAGTAGGCTTTGTTGCTTCGTTCTGCAACATTAAATCAAGTAAACGTAATCCAAATTGACCGAAGTCAGAGAAGATATGCATATCAAATCAAAAGCAAACAGTAGTGCTGTCACCTCATATAGGCAGTATTTGAAGTTCTAATTCAGATGGATTGGATTGAGTTTGGCTGCTCCTGCTGGTTGGTGGGAATTGATTTGTTTAGGGCTGGTTCAGCTGGAGTACGGGTATGCTGGCTACACTGGAACAGCTGCTGTCTGCTCGGTTCATGGCAGGCCAGCTCACTGCTCCAAATCAACTTAGTTTGTGGGTGAGTGTGTGGCTACGCTGTATCTCTGTATCTCTGACGTGTTCCTGTGAGGGTCATGGCACTCCTCAACATTCGATAGCTCAGATGGTAGAGCAGAGGATGTTACATTAGGACAGTTGTTTAATCTATCGGAGTGTCTATTTATAGCCTTGTTGGCAGCAGCTATTTACACTAGCTCCACCCACAAACGTGTGATAGGGCTAGTCAACACTATAAAAAAAACGGCTATCAATTGTTAGCTCCAGTAGCGTAGATGGTAAAGCGCGTAACGTAGTCTTTTTTTTTTTTGACGAGATCGACCCTTTTTTCTCCCTTTTCAAATCTCATATCACATCGGAAAGGCATTTATTTTCAATAAAAATGAAGGAAATTATCAAAAAGTTCAAAATAAAGTATCGGGTAGGGTTAGGGTACGTGTAGGGAGGGCTTTATTGTCCCAATAAGGTGGCATCTATTTAATAATTTGAATTTAAATTATAATTTACACTCAATACGTTATTATTGCATACTGTTTTATAATGTACTATAATACTGAGGTGCAGATAATTGCCACTATTTGCAATAAGTAGTATAAATAGCAGAAAGTCCAGCTATTTTAATCTATCGCTATTTGCATTTAGTGTAAATAGCATATTGTTAAAAATACTATTTTCACTTAGTATAAATAGAATCCATTGCTATTTGCACTTAGTGTAAATAGCATCTATCACTAAGAACATATGCTATTTGCACTTAGTGTAAATAGCTGCTGCCTTAATCTATCCATATGTAACCCCACTCCCCCGGGTCCTCTCTGCCCAGTGGGTCTCCGGCATGGGAGGCGGACGCACTAACAAGGAGACTAAAGACTATAGCCTCTTGACATCAGGGGAGTGAGGTTTACCTGCACAGCACTTACTCGCTGGCCTCCGTTACACTCACCCTCCTAAGCCTCACTCCCATCCGGGTCACGGCACCAATGTAACCCCTCTCCCCCGGGTCCTCTCCGCCACACCTCGTTCTCGTTCCGATTGGGTCTCTGGCATGGGAGGTGGACGCACTATCAAGGAGGCTGAAGACTGCAGACTCTATTCTAGCATTCACCTAGCATTCTAGTGATTCAATCATCATAAATGGAAGTGCGGAAATTATGTAATGAATAAAAACCATCATACCTAACAAAACTGTCCTATTTACTTGACCTTAAAATAATAATAATAATAAAAAAAACTATTAAGTGAATGAATGCATGCTTTTGAATTGCCATCAATAGAGAAAGCTGCTTTTTGGAACCATAATAGTGTAGTTATGGCATCTACTAGGTGCATATAACAGGACAGTGCTAACCAGCCAAAAACCCTGACCCCTTGGGTCTTATGTGTCAACTTTTGGCTGAATTAGTGGCTTGTTTTTAGGGCTACCTAAGGGGCGGTTGTAAAACTGTTTGGGAAACACTAGGGGCGTGCGATGTCATGAGTTTTGATCGTGGATGATTAAAATGTCTCCATGATTTGCTTTTGAAAAAAACATTGTAGTATTGTGCTACAGCACACATTCTGTCAGTTGCAATTCTGTCTCAATATA